ATTCACCCGCTTTGTCTTCAGCGGTTGTGTCGGGAAGGTGAGCATCATCAAATGCCAATTTAATAGAAGAAAGTATTGCATCTTTTCATCTTCTTGTAGAATACTATCTTCCCCTTCACACATGTTGATGGAGCCATGGTGATGTAGTGGTTATGTGTTGGGCTGTGATCCATAAGGTCAGCCATTCAAAATCACCAGCTGCTCCACAGGAGACAGATGTGACTCATGACTTCTATAAAGAGTTACAGTCTTGGAACTCACAGGGGGCAGTTCTACCTTGTCTTTAGGGTCACTTTGAGTCAGCAGTGATGTGATGACAGGTATCAGCAAGTCTCTGCATGGCTTGTCAACAGGAAGACAAAGACAGAAAGAGAAATGAAGTTCCCAGAATCCTCATGAGATGGCCACACTCACAAGAAGGCATCATCAGCCTGTGACCTGATTGACAGCTAGACTCCACACCTACACTTATTTATCGAGTTGACATGAAATTATGTAACTGCCACAGATTCCAATAGAAATGTTTCAACAAGCTGATGAAGAACTGGAAGCTCTCATTCATCCATGCCAGGAAATTAAGAAAACAACTACTTTGCCAACTGACTTGGAGAGATCTTTATTTGTACCCATTCCAAAGAAAGATGACCCAACAGAAAAAACAAAATGATAGAATAATATTATTTATGTCACATGCAAGTAAATTTTTGATGGGGATAATATAATCCATCAATGGTTGCAGCAGTACATTGCCAGCGAGCTGCCAGAGGTTTAAGCCAGATTAAGAAGAGAATGTGGAACAAGAGATAGCATTACTGATGTTAGATGGATCTTGGCTGAAAGCAAAGAATACCAGGAAGATGTTTACTTATGTTTTATTGACTATGTTAAGGCATTTGACTGTGTAGATTATGACCAACTATGAATAACCTTGAGAAAATTGGGAATTCCAGAACAGTTCTTTGTGCCCATATGGACTAGTACATGGATCAAGAGGCAGTTTCAGGACTAGAACAAGGGAATACTGCATGGTTTTAAAGATGTGTGTTAGGGTTGCATCCTGTCACTATCCTTATTCAATATGTTGGCTGAAAAAATAATCAGAGTAGCTGGTCTATATAAAGAAGAATGTAGCACATTAGGATTGGAAGGAGTCTTAACAATCTTTGCTATGAGTGTGGAGGTCTTGATGCACTTGCTGATGAAGATCAAGGATTGCAGCCTTCAATATGGATTACAATTCAATGTAAAGAAAATCACAATTCTTACAGCTGGACCAGTAGGTAACGTTATGATAAACAGAGAAAAGATTGAAGTTGTCAAGGATTTCATCTTGCTTAGGTCCACAGTCAGTTCTCAGAGAAGCAACAATTAAGAGATCAAAGGATGTATTGCATTAGGTGAGTCTGCAGTACTTTAAGAGTCTCGTGCTCTACTGACTGAGCTAGCTGGGCACTCCAGATCACTTTAAAGTGTTGAGAAACAAGGAGATAACTTTGAGGGTTTAAGTGTGCCTGACTCGTGTCATTGTATTTCCAATTTCTTCATATGGAAATTGGACATTAAATAAAGAACACCAAAGAAGAATGGATACATTTTTATTATAGTCTTGCAGAAGAATATTGCAAGTGTCATGGACTACCAAAATAAACAAAACAAAACCCCATCTATCTTGGAAAAAGTTCAGCCAGAATGTTCCTTTGAGGCAAGGCTGGTGAGACTTCATCTCAAATACTTTGGATATGTTATCAGGAGAGACCAGTTCCTGAGGAAGGACATTATGCTTGGTAAAGTGGAAGGTCAGCATAAAAGAGGAAGGCTCCGTACAAGACATATTGTAACAATGAACTCAAACATAAGAACAATTGTGAGAATGGCGCAGGACCAGGCAGAATTTCATTCTGTGAGTTGGAACTGACTGGATGGTACCTAACAGGAACAACAAGAATTCTTGAAATGTGTAGATCAGTTAAATTACATGCTAAAGAGACTTTGCAGATAAGATAAAGGTTATGCATTTAAGATGAAGTGATTTTCCTGAATCATCTAGGTGGCTCCAACCTAATTGGTTTTTAAAGTCGAAATAACCCTGCCTTCTTTAAACAATACCCCTGGTGACATGGTGGTTACATGTTGACCCGTGATCCTGCGGAGAAAGATTGTCCTTTTCACTGCCATCAACAGTTCAAGTCTCGGAAACCCACAGGGCTGTCGCTATGTGAGTCAGCATTGACTTCATAGCAGTGAGTTTGGTTTTAGCGGAATATTTAAACAATAGGAGCCCCGCATCGTCAGCAGTTTGAAGCCACCAGCAGTTCTGCCGAAGACAGATTGGATTTTCTACTTCTATAAACAGTTACAGTCTCAGAAAGCCACAGGAGGACAGTATGAGTTAGCACTGACTTGATGGCAGTGAGTTCGGTTTTTTGGTTATTTAAGCAATGATGAAAGGAGACATGGGAGTGATTCAAAATGGGAGAGAGAGTCAACTCTGTTGCCGGCTTTGAAAATGGAGGAAGTGGGCCAGGAGCTAAGGAATGTGGCTTTTTGAAGCACATCCAGCTTCCAACAAGCAAGGAAATAAAGGCACTCAGTCCCTCAGGCATAAGGATCTGAAGTTTGCCATCAACTTGAATAAGCAAAGAAATGTATTCTACCCTAAAGCTTGAAGAATGCCGCCTAATACCTAAAGTTTAGACTTCTGTCATTTAGAAATGTAAGATAATAAATACCATAATAAATTTGTGCTGTATTTACCTCAGTTTATGGTCATTTGTTATGGCACAAATGGAAAGCTAATGCGCTGTTATTTTGATTGATTGATTGCCATTTTACCTTTACATAGTGGCTGATATTGGTGTTATCCGTTGCTTTCTTCTATGAGAGAACTTAAAAAAGATTTTGGACAATGGAATTAAAAGATAATGTAAATATTCCCTGAACTCTTTGAAGCCCCCTCATAGTTTTATTCCTTCAGAAAATTTTCACATTTATAAAGTAGTTTTAATAGAAGGCAGTAAAAAACTTGGAGTTAAAGACATTAGTTAGTCTTCATTCTTTTGTTGTGGACATATTAATTCCATCTGCATGTTTTGACATTTCTAGAATAGAAAAGACTTATCAGTTTGCTTCACATTTGTTCAGTTGCTTGCTCACTGACTCAAATACTTGTTCGTTCAATTAAAATGGAACATTTACTGTGTGCCAGGCAAAGTATCTTGGGAACATGACCTTTAGTAAGATATGATTTTTGGATAAGTGCTATGAATGAGAGCACAAATTGTAATGGGTGCTGATATAATGTACTGGCTACAAAATTTAGTGAGGTTTGTGGACCAGGGATAATGTTAGATCAGTTGTAAAGGACAAATAGGAGTTAAAATAAATTATACTAGATTTTAGGTCAGTTATTTAAAAGGTAAGTGTTAGCTGTGTTTTGGGATTATCTCTAAATAGTTTCATAGGGCACACTGTGATTTTACACTTAAAAATTTATGAAACCTTGATTGGCATTATTTATATTTTTCTCTCATTTAATAGAACGTTAGAAAAGTTTTACACCCAGGTAAAATTTTATGTGGCTATAATTTTGAGGCGATTTTAATGTTCCATCGTAGTTTTAAAAAACATGCAAATGTCATCATTTCATATTTGTTTTTAATGTAGAATGGAAAATATAAGTTGAAGTAATAAATATAATAATTCTATAAGTTTCCTAAAGTTAATAAGCTATGCTTTTAATTTAAATAGCAAATAGTAATCTCTGATGAGCTATTTTATGAGAGAATCAAAAAATTATAAAAGGTCATTTTTAATATATCTGTTAATAAATTGGTATGAGATAAAAATTCTAAATTCTAGGATTTCCTGTTTTAAAGATGCTTTCTTATAGAAGAAAAGACCTTTGGAAGTATTATATAAAGTTAAGCATCAAATGTTCATCACAATATTTCTAAAAGTATGTTTAAATAAAAATCGATGTAATTTTTTAATTAAAGGAAAGCAAAGTGTTGCGAACAGTTCCTCTTCTGGCAGCATGTCTCCCGCAGGAAAAATGTAAAGTCAAGATTGGTCGTCGCTTCAGTGAAGAAAGGTAAATTAATGCAGGTAAAAAGTAAAAAAAGGACTTAAACCATAACAGCATTGAAAGAAAGTGGTAAAAAAAAAGTAAAGTTCTGTTCTCCCTTGCTCACAAGGAAATAATATATAACAAACATAACAAATTGGGATAAGCACAGGAGTGGTGGCATTTTAATTCTATAGCAAAATATTTTGAACCTAAAGAGCAAATTCTTTTTAAAAATCTATTCAATATGGCAGAATATTTGTATGAGACTCAGCTGGTTTTTCCTTTGATTACTAATATGCTGTTTACCCAGTAATTATTATTGGCTGATAGATTTTAAATTAAAAAGGATTCAGACTATTGATTTATTGTTAGGCAGGTTATTGAATGATTAATTTACATATTTTTAGAGTAGGGTATATAACTATGGGAGAGATCATGTTTATACTGGTTTTTGGGTAGCTAGAGCAGTCTCATCTTTCTTTCCTTCTCCAGAATGGGCTCAAAGCTAACAATTGTGAGGACGACACAGGACTGGACAGTGTTTTCTTTTGTTGTACAGAGTTGTTACGAATTGGAAGTGACTTGATGGTACCAACTACCTTGGTTGGTAGTTGTTGGTTGAAAGCCTGTGCAGTGTCAAGTCTTCAGTGAATTTACTGCTTTGTCAATTCTCAAGGTCCCTAAGCCTTTTGCTATTTCCTATGCATATTCATTATGTTATATGTAGAAATGTTTAGCAGTAAGAGGGAAGTCCTGGGAAGAAGGGAGCTGCTTCATTTTGGTTGAAATAAGAATTCAGCCTATATACATTTTAGATCATGTTGTCAATTTCTATTAAAAACAAACAAACAAAAGAAGCCTAATGCAATTTGGATTAGGGTTATATTGTATCTGTTGCTTTACTTTGGGAGAATTGTTGTGTTATATGTGAAAAAATATATAACTATCCAGTTGTGTAGATCATATATCCCCAAATTTATTTGCCTATAGCTCCTTTTTCAGAAAACAGCAACACCAAAAACCCTCAATGACCGCCTCCCCCCCCACCCCCCGACACCCCCCCTCCCCCGCACAAAAGTAAAAGCTTTTGTGCTGTAGTCCACAATCCAGGAAGAATGATAGGAATCTGCTTTTGCAGCCCTCTGGATTTACCAGCACGCTCCCAGTAGGGCAGTGCCTCCTACTTTGGGAAACACTGATACAGACCTACTTTTAGTTTTTCTCAGTAATGTTTGTTAATTTCAATTTGATATTTTAGAGATCTTCTCTTGGATTTATTACTAGTTATTTTATGTTTCTGGCACTATTGTAGGTAGAAAAAAATGATACTTAACTTTTTGCTTCTAATATATAAGAAGCTCTGTTGTGCAACAGGTCAAGGGCTTAACTGCTACCTGATAAGTTAGTGGTTTGAACCCACCCTGCAGCTCCCTAGGGGCCACACCTGGCAATATTTGTATCTAAAGGATGCAACCAAGAAAAGCCAATGACAATATGTGATTTATCAAGGATTCATGAGGGTGAGAGGGTTGGGGAGGGAGGGGAAAAAAGAGGAGCTTATACCAAGGGCTCAAGTAAAAAATGTTTTGGAAATTATGATGGCAACATATGTACAAATATGCTTGATGTATGGAATGTTATAAGAGATGTAAAAGCCCCCAATAAAATGATCTTAAAAAAAAAAGAAAAGTCAATGAGGCAGTTATGCTGTTGCATGGGATCAGTGTGAGTTACAAGTGATTTGATAACATTCAACAACAGTATATGAGAAAGTAGCTGATTTTTGTGTATTAACTCTGTAGTGACTTTACTAAATTCATTTATTACTTGTAGAAATTGTTTTGTAAATTCTCTAGCAGTGCTCTCATTGTAGATAAGGTCAGTTACTTCCTCTTTTCTGATATTTATTCCTCTATTTTTTGTCTTCATGTCTTATTGCAATAACTAGGATCTCTAAAAAGGGTGTGCAGGTTATTTGCATTCAACTGCTAACTTATCAGATGATACGTCCAGTCTACCTGACTGCTCATTAGTCTACTCTTGTTAAGATGATAGGGTTTATGGAGCAATTTCACGTTGCAGCAAATGGGAGCCCATGATTTGGAATTGAGTTGATAACAACTAACAACAGCAATAGGCTCTCCAATAATGGTTAACAGAAGTGGTGACAGCCAGAATCTTTACCTTGAACTCAATCTCAGGGGATATTGTTAATATGCTAGTGACTATTAATTTGTAGATTCCGTTTACCAATTTTAGGAAGTTATCTATTATTCTTAAAATGTTGAGAATCTCTGGTTTATTAGAGATTTGGAGTTGTACGTTTTGGGGCAAGCCTTGTCAGTTTGTTTTGTATTAGATTTATGGTGACCTCATAAATTGATGGACAATTTTTCTTTTCTCTTCAAAAAGTAGTTATATATGACTTTATTATTTTTCTTTAATATTTGAGACAGTTGACTAGTTTAGCCACCTGAACCTGTAGTTTTTCTTTGTGGGAAGGTTCTGAATTACAAATGCAGTATATTAACCAAAAGACAATTTAAAATTTCTATTTTTGATGCAAAATATTTGATAATTTGTACCTTTCAAGGAATTTATACAAGTCATCTGAATTGCTGAATTTATTGTTGTAAAGTTGTTTGTAGTATTTCTTTGTTATCTTTTTAACATTTTCAGAATTTCTTGTTTTTTTCACTGCCTGATTTTTGGAACCACCACTTGTCTGTCAGTTTGTGAGCTGTATGTTACTTTGATGCTAGAAGCTGTGTCACGAGTATTTCAAATACTAGCAAAGTCACCCAGAGTGACAGGTTTCAAACACAGCTCCCAGAATAAGAACAGACTACAAAGGAGGCATAGGCTGTTCACTTCTGAGGAATCAGCCACTGAAAATCTTATGAGTACCAGTGGGACATTGTCATATACTGAAAACCTCTTGAACAGAAGCGAATATCATCAAGGAGAGTGCCAGAAGATGGGCCGCTCAGGTCAGAAGGCACTGAAAATATAACTGAGGAAGGACTGTCTTCTCACAATGAGAAGAAACATTTGCAAACATTTACTGGTAAACATAACTTAGGATGTACAAAATATGAATCTAGGAAATGTGGAAGTTGTAAAAAAATGAAATGGAATGTATAAAGGCATTAGTGAGCTGAAATGGACTGATATTGGCAATTTTGATTCAGAAAATCCTATGGTTTGCTATGTTAGGAAACTTTATATGAATGAGGTCACATTCATTTTCAAAAAGGACATTTAGAATGTTGAGAATCTCTTTGATTTATTAGAGATTTGGAGCAAACCTTGCCAGTTTTTTTGGTATGAGTAAAAGACCTATCTGTTTTTTTTAAATAATTTTTTTGGAGCTCTTACAGCTCTTATAAAGACCTATCTTGAAGAACAGTGCTATCTTGAAAGAGATAATTTCCATCCAAATTTAACAAAATCTAATCAATACAACTATTATTCAACATTATGCACCCACCACTAAAGTAGTGAATGTACTTTAAAGTACTTTAAAGTAAAGTTATGCAGAAATTGGAGAATTCTACCAATGTTTCAGCCTGAAATTGATTGAACATACAATCCAGATACATTGGTAATTATTGGAGATTGGAAAGCAAAAGTTGGAACATAGGGTAAGGAAAAGTAGTTGAAAACATGGCGTTGGTGGTACAAATGAAGCTGGAACTAGCTTGATAGAATTTTGTAAGACCAATGACTTCTTCATAGCAATATACTTTTTTAATCTTGGAAAAAGGAGGCTATGCACTTAGTAGACTTCTCCAGGTGGAATACACAGAAATTAAACTAATGACATCTGTGAGGAGATGATGGAGAAGCTCAATATGAGCAGTTAAAACCAGAGCATGGACCTTCTGTGGAAGAGACAATTGCTCTTATGAAAGTTCAGGTTGAGGGGGGGGAGGTGTTCTTGATTAAAAATTTGGTCTATATAGACCAACTAGACCAGTAAAAAAAAAAAAAAAAAGAAAGTTCAGGTTGAAGCTGAAGAAAATTAAAACAAGTCCATGGGAGCCAAACTCTGACCTTGAGTCAATCCCACAGATTTGATAACATCTCACACACAGATGTGTCATATATTCCAGAAGACTTGCTGAGCTGTGGGATGACATCAAGACCATCATTCATAAAGAAACAAAAGGTCATTAAAAAGACAAGATAAAAAGATAATAATGTCAGAAGAAACTATGAAGTGTGACCTTAATCATAGTGTCCCCCAAACCAAACTAACCGCCCTTTAGTCAATTCCTACGCATAGTGACCTATAGGGCCGAGTAGACCTATGGGTTTCTGAGATTATAACTCATCATGGGAGTAGAAAGCCTTATTTTTCTTCCAAGGAGCCACTGGTATTTTATAACTGTTGACATTATGTTTAGCAGTAAAAAACAACCACTACAACATCAGGGTTTTTAAAAAGATTGAATAGAAAATTTTAAAATAGCTTGAGAAGACAGTAAGGTATTCTAAGGAAATGTTCAAAGATCTGGAGTTAGAAAACCAAAAAGGAAGAATATATTTAGCGTATCTTAAGCTGAAAAAACTCAAGAAAAAAAATGTAAGCCTCAAATCGCAACATTGAAAGATTCCAATGGCAATATATCAAATGATGCAGAAAGTATCAAAAGGAAATGGAAAGGATACACAGACACTATACCAAAAAGAACGAGTTGACATTCAACCATTTTAAGGGGTAGCACATGACTGAGAATGCATGGTACTGAAGGAAGAAGCCAAGCTGCATTCAAGGTATTAGTGAAAAACAAGGCTCCAGGAATTGACAGCACACCAATGGAAATGTTTCAGCAAGCTGATGAAGCACTGAATATCCTCAATGTGATGCGTTGACAAAATGGGTGCAATGAGAGGCTTGAACATAAGATTATAAGGATGGCTTTACTGTGCATCGTTTCATTCTGCTGTACATAGGGCCACCATGAGTCAGAACTGACTGGACTTAACTACCACACTTAACTAAAACAGCATTTTGTGGA